AAATGGCTGTTCGTGTTTTGAACAGTGTTCTCTTCAGAATAAACTTTCTCATTTTTTATAATAAGGACAGGTTGAAAACTCTCCAAATCTTCAAATGTTGGTTCATTTTTTATTAAAAATTCCCTCTGTAATTCATCTCTCTTTTTCCACACTTTACTATAAGCAAGACATTACTTTAACACTTTGCTTAGAAATCTCCTCAGCTAAATCTCCAATTTCATCACTTACAAGTTCTACCTTCTGCCGGGCACGGTGACTCACGCTTGTAATCCAAGCACTTTGAAGGCCAAGGTAGGCGGATCACCTGAGGTCGGGAGTTCAAGACCAGCCTGACCAACATGATGAAACCCTGTCTTTAAAAAAAAAAAACAAGTTCTACCTTCCATAAAACAACAGAAAACAATTTATCCAAGTTCTTTGCCACTTTATAACAAAGATCACCCCAGTTTCCAATAACATATTCCTTATTTCCATGGGAGGTGTCACCAGAATTGCCCATAATGTCCATACAGATGCACCTCAGCATCTACTCATTATTCAGTTCCAAAGCCACTTCCACATTCTTAGGTATTTGTTATAGCAGCACCTTACTTCTCTGTACCAAGATCTGTCTTAGTCAGCTTGGGCTGCTACAATAAAATGCCATAGTCTGGGTTGCTTAAACAATAGACATTAATTTCTCAAAGTTCTGGAGGCTAGAAAGTCCAAGATCAAGGTCCACATGATTCAGTGGCTGGTGAAGGCACTCTCCTTGGCTTGCAGAAAGCTGCCTTCTTTCTGTGTACTCAGATGGCAGACAGCAAGCTCTAGTGTTTTTACCTCTTATTATAAGGGCACCAAACCCATCATGAGGGCCCCACCTTTGTGGCCTCATCTAAACTTAATTATCTTACGAAGGCCCCATTTCCAAAAACCATCACATTGAAGGGTTAGGGATTAAACATAGGAATTTGGGGGCGGGGGCACAACTCACTCCATAGCAAATGCTATCTTTTTATGCAGGAATGTCATTAAATTATGTCCCCAGCATTTATAAGATATGTAATGCATCATTATCATCACATACAGAAAGAATACATTTTTCCCCTAATACTAGCATTATAATACACCAGATGCCTCCTTATTATTTGGTGTCTTAAGTTAGTACTTCTCTGGCAACCCAATCAATGTGGAAGTGACAGAGGCAGGAGAGTAAAGTGGTCAAGGTCTTCAATTCTGGAGCCTGGATTTGCATCTCAAATCTGCTCACTCAGCTGTGTAAAACTGCACAAATTACTTAACTTATGCCTCTGACTATTCATCTGTAAAATAGTGACATATAATAATACCTCTCCTGAGTTGTTTTATGAATGAAAGGAAGTAATGTGTATGATGCCCTTAGCTCAGCACATAGGAAGCATCCATTACATGTTATTAAAAAAAGACAAAGTGTGTCTAAACATAGGAGCTATGGTGGCTGGCTGGGAGGATAAAACAGCACTGACAACTGGAAATCTCTAGGGAGTGCAGCACAGTGAAGGAAGTTCTATCATCACTTTCTTTAGAACTGGTTCACTTGCCAAAAGAATGTCTCTTCACCTATTTTAAAAAGCTGCTTATTTTGCTTTAAAAGGGCCCCAGAGGAAAATAAGAGGGGTGGGGGGTGTAGCAGAAAAAGAAATATAGCAGAAAAAGAAAAAGTAAGAGGAGATAAAAATGAGCTAATGGAAGAGTACTAACAAGCCACTAGAACTTGCACTTCTGAAATGGAGTATTATTCTTCTGCCCTATTTTTCAGAGTATTTATAATGCATCAAGTGAGGCACGTGTGGTATTTTAGAACCTAGTTTTGCAATGTTTTTTTCAAAAATTAGTGAAAAGTTAGTGCTATTTTGTGTATGTACTAATATGGGGAGAGGGTGGAGCACTTATTTCAGTGAACTTTATCTTTCAAATAGATTGACTCAAGTTACTGTAAACATGTTTTTTTTTTTTTTGAGACGGAGTTTCGCTCTTGTTACCCAGGGTGGAGTGCAATGGCGTGATCTCGGCTCACCGCAACCTCCGCCTCCCGGGTTCAGGCAATTCTCCTGCCTCAACCTCCTGAGTAGCTGGGATTACAGGCACACACCACCATGCCCAGCTAATTTTTTGTATTTTTAGTAGAGATGGGGTTTCACCATGTTGACCAGGATGGTCTCGATCTCTTGACCTCGTGATCCACCCGCCTCGGCCTCCCAAAGTGCTGGGATTACAGGCTTGAGCCACCGCGCCCGGCCTACTACTGTAAACATGTTTTATGAACACTGTGATATGTGGCTCTGATTATTGCCTTCTGAAAATTTTGAGTTGGGTAAAATATTTTCTCAGATACTCAGTTTAATTTTGTAAGCAGTCTGAAGACCATGCTGTACCAGCTTTTTGCTCTATAAATTTTGCAGTAGTCTTTAGCCAAAAGCAATAAAATGCGACCTACTAAGTCTAATATCATGAACTGCTTGTAATCTTGTTCTTGACTAATACTTTGTTACTTTTGTGTAAGGGTACTAGACTTCCATGAGAATATAACGTAGCAACTTACCAAAATACGTTCCCAAACAAAAAAACACCGAATTTAAAATCAATTTGCATTTTCTTGAGTATAAATCCATACCACCAATCAGACTCTCCTTCTAAATGGAGCTTTTATTCATTCTGTTGCCAAGATACCTCAACCTAAAATTTAAAATATAGCTTTCCTATTTTTTTTCCCAAAATAGTCTTTTATTAACTCTGCTTTCTTCCTTGATCTGAGAGTTATGGATGGGATTTAAGTGAGTGTTATTAAGTGTTTAAGTGTTTGGGTAATTTTCTTAAAATTTCTGGCTCTTTTAATGTATTTTCATAATACATTATGAAAATATAATCTAGCTGGGCATGGTGGCTCACACCTGTAATCCCAGCACTTTGGGAGGCTGAGGCGGGTAGATCACTTGAGGTCAGGAGTTCGAGGCTAGCCTGACCAACATGGTGAAATCTTGTCTCTACTAAAAATACAAAAATATACTGGGTGTGGTGGCAGGCACCTGTAATCCCAGCTACTTGGGAGGCTGATGCAGAAGAATCCCTTGAACCTGGAAGGTGGAGGTTGCAGTGAGCCAAGATCATACCATTGCATTCTAGTCTGGGCGACCAAGTGAGACTCCATTTCAAAAAATAAAATAAAAAAAAAAGAAACAGAAAAAAACCCCACACACACACACAAAACAAACAAACAAACAAAGATGTATATAACCTATACAAAGTTCAGCTTTTGAGAATTTAAGATCCTCTCCTCCATGATTTAATATTTTATTATTAAAAATGTCCTGTGGGGGCCAGGTGCGGTGGCTCACACCTGTAATCCCAGCACTTTGGGAGCCCTGAGGTGGGTGGATCACCTGAGGTCAGGAATTCAAGACCAGCCTGCCTAACACAGTAAAACCCCATCTCTACTAAAAATACAAAAATTTAGCCAGGCATGGTGGTGGATACTTGTATTCCAGTTACTTAGGAGGCTGAGACAGGAAAGTCACTTGAACTTAGGAGGTGGAGGTTGCAGTGAGCCGGGATTGTGCCATTGCACTCTAGCCTGGGCAACACAGCGAGTCTTCAACTTAAAAAAAAAATGTTCTGTGGGGCCAGGAGTGGGTGGCTCATGCCACACCTGTAATCCCAGCACCTTGGGGAGGTTGGCTGGCCAACATAACGAAACCCTATCACTACTAAAAAAAAAAAAAATTAGGCTGAGTGTGGTGGTTCATGCCTGTAATCCCAGCACTTTGGGAGGCTGAGGTTGGTGGATTTACCTGAGGTCAGGAGTTTGAGACCAGCCTGGCCAACATGGCAAAACACCATCTCTACTAAAAATACAAAAATTAACTGGGTGTGGTGGCTACCTTGGAGGCTGAGGCAGGACAATCTCTTGAACCCGGGAGACGAGGGTTGCAGTGAGCTGAGATCACGACACTGTACTCCAGCCTGGGAGATAGTGAGACTCTGCCTCAAAAAAAACAAACAAACAAAAAAACAAAAATTAGCCAGGTGTGGTGGCCCATGCCTATAATCCCAGCTACTGGGGAGGCTAAGGCATGAAAATTGCTTGAACCCAGGAAGCAGCATTGCACTCCAGCCTGGGTGACAGAGTGATACCCTGTCTCAAAAAAAAAAAAAAAAAAAAGTCTTGTGGTTGGCTGATTCCGTGAGAAATCCATGTATCCATCCCAACTGAGATCTTACCTGATCTTTTCTCTTGGGGCAGAACTGACCACTCTTCTCCTCTTGCTCACACTTTTTAATTTTTTTTTTATTTTTTGAGACAGTCTTGCTTTGTCGCCCAGGCTGGAGGGCAGTGGCACAATCTCAGCTCATGGCAACCCTCCACCTCCCAGGTTCAATTGATTCTCCTTCCTCAGCTACCAAGTAGCTGGGATTATAGATGCTTACCACCATGCCTGGCTAATTTTTAAATTTTCAGTAGAGACAGGGTATCTCCATGTTGGTCAGGCTGGTCTTTAACTCCTGTACTGAAGTGATCTGCCCACTTCAGCCTCCTAAAATGCTGGGATTACAGGTGTGAGCCACCACACCCAGCCCTTGGCTACACTCCTATGGTAGCACCTTTGACACATTAGTATAGACACACGCAGACACACACAGACACACACACACACACTCTTTAACATATTAAGTTCCTTTAGTACAGGTTTTCTTATTTACCTTAATGTTCCCTACATCTAGGAGAGTACATGGAAAATACACAATAAATACTTTTATATGAATAAAAAGAGAGAAAAATTGCTTTTATGTGTTAAGCCAGGATAGTAGCAGTAGACTCCCAGGAATGAGATGCAGGGAAGGCCTGGCACAGCTGGTCACACTTGATCTTGATGTATAAAACAAATGAGTCATTCACAATTTATATTTTAATAATGAAAATTCCTGAGGCAAAATTTTGTTATAATAGTAAAATAGTTACCTGAAAAGATGAAAAATTTATTTACCTAATGTAATCCACTGTCCAGAAGAATCTGAAAGTAACTTCAAATTGGGAATAACATTTGGGTCTTTGAAAAAAGCCTAAAATACAAATTTGAAGGGAACAAGTTAGATATTTTATTATAAATGATAGTAAAAATTAACATAAAATAACTAATCTCATTTAATTCAAATAGGAAGGACAATTTTAATTGCTGAAATGTCTAAGTAATAAATAGTTTATAAATAAATGAAGTTTTATTACATTCAAGTTGGAACAGTATGAACGTTGCGTGTCTAAGTACAGCTGCCTTTGGAACTTAATTTAGAAAATAATGATATACAGTAAACATTAGGAGGTTATATAATGTTTGAAAACTTTGTTTTTCTTCAGTGTTACTGAACTGCCTTAATAACAACTCACATACTAGATCTAAATCCAAAAGTAACCATCAATTTAATTCTTTCTAAGAGGCATGTAAAAAAGTGAAGAATCTAACTTCCTAAAAATGAAAAATTTAATGCATGGCAAAAGACAGCAAAGCAGGTAAGAGTTTTAGTTCCAGATCCTTTTGTAGTTTATGAGCATGATGACTGGGTGTTCATAGGCATGTGTGAGATATGACACCCATAAACCTTGTTATGACGTTGGCACATTGTCAGTCTGACATAAAAAAAGAAAAAAATACATAAAAAAGAGCAGCTGGGCTGTAATTGCAGCACTTTGGGAGCCCGAGGCAGGTGGATCACCGGAGGTCAGGAGTTCAAAACCAGCGTGGCCAACATGGTAAAACCCCATCTCTACTAAAAATACAAAAAATTAGCTGGGTGTAGTCATGCATGCCTATGATCCCAGCTACTTAGGAGGCTGAGAGGTGAATCACTTGAACCCAGGAGATGGAGGTTGCAGTGAGCCGAGGCTGTGCCACTGCATTCCAGCCTGGTCAGCAGCGAGATTCCAACTCAAAAAAAAAGCTTTAGTTCTAGGTACTAGCAGCTGACTTAAGCTGAAAAGGTAGAAGAAAATTTATTAGAAGCATCTCAGGGAGTCCACAAAATATTCCAGAAGCAGAGGGCATCAGGCTGAAGACTGGACCCAGGAATGATCCAAAATCAAATGCAGAACTGCCTTTATGAGCAAACTGTCACCCTTGCAGCCCCATCAAGCACTAGAGGAAGCCACCACCACCCTTTCTCCCATCCAAGTACTAATCAGGCCCAACCATACTTAGCTTTCAGTATCAGGCACTTTCAGGGTGGTATGGCCATAAACATCAAGTACTAACCAGCCCCAATGCTGCTTAGCTTCCAACATTCAGGGTGGTATGGCCATAGACATCACCATCACTCCTTTCTAACCAAGGCCATTGCTGTGCCAGGTCTGCCTGGCCTGAATGTGGTCTCTGCCACTACCTTTGCCAGTGAAATGAATTCTGTGTGTGCTTCCTTCCTTAAGCTGCTCACTTCAAAATTCTAGTCTTGCACTGATGAGTATGTTTGTAAATCTAGGTCCCACACTTACATTTTGGATGCAAAAAAGCTCCTTGCATTTTGGAGGTTTCACTTGGACTTCCCAAAGGTAAATAGAAGTTACCTCCAAATTGCAGGGGTGTTCACAAGGTGCTACATAGCCAGAAAACATAATGTCCATGAAGAGCAATAAATAAAAGAAAAATAATAGGCCGGGCGCGGTGGCTCAAGCCTGTAATCCCAGCACTTTGGGAGGCCGAGGCGGGTGGATCACGAGGTCAAGAGATCGAGACCAACCTGGTCAACATGGTGAAACCCCGTCTCTACTAAAAATACAAAAAATTAGCTGGGCATGGTGGCGCGTGCCTGTAATCCCAGCTACTCAGGAGGCTGAGGCAGGAGAATTGCCTGAACCTAG